TATTTGGAGATTCTAGTGTTGCCTATGAAAATAATGTATGCCAAATTATGAGAAGATATCTTATCAAATATAAAATTTTTCCATTTAAAAACTTGACTTTTTCGTTCAGTTTGTATGATAGCTATATGTGCTATAGTGGTTCGATATCGGCGTTTCCGACAAATGAGCAGCTTCTTAAGGAGAAAAAGGACGTGTGGCAACTTTCAGAACGATATCTCAAAAACTGAAGAGTTAATATGTCGTTCATAGCTTAGCTCTTTTAAAAAAATATTATGTTTTCTAAAGTCACAATGTGCAACCAGTTGTTGTTTAGATTGAACAACTTTAGCATAGAGCTGCCATACAAACCGACCGATCAAAACTAAGAAACTTGTGTAGAATATTATAGCGTTTTTTGTTCAATTATACATTGCAATAACTAAAATAAATTCCACACAAGAAAATCCAAACTACGTAAAAATAATCTTTCAGAACAATTGCGTAGTTATACTCACCCAAACAAATAAACGTACAAGTATTGCTATAAATATCTAAAAAATTTGCCGTCAACATCATTTTAACAAACGCTCATTCCTGAAGAATGTATACAAAACTAAACCGTTAAACATACGCACACACAAGCGCACTTAATTTGTGTATATCGACGTAATCATTGATTTACGACTAATCCGTTGAATGATTTTTAATTAAATTTATGTCTTTATGACTTCTCGAGCGTCATGTCTAATGATATGGTTGCACTCACTTACTTTTTTTTTTTTTTCTTTTTTGTTGAGCATTTTTATGTGCATGTGTGTAGGAGTAGTAGCTGTAAAACCCAAGCGCTGGAAGTGCCAATTTATAGAGTATAACTTTGCAGGTGACGAAGCTTTTGATATTTTGTTATGAAGATTATTGCCGTAATTGGTTTTTTGTGATTTTAGTATGTACTATATTTGATAGAATGACTATAAAACTAAATTTCTAAGTGTTATTATTTATATAATGTTAGTATTTTTGAGTGTTGGTTTGAAAAATATTCAACACTGTTAATAAATTCTTCTGCTTAAAAAATTGGGAAAGGTCGTTTGTTTAAAGTCATATAATCCACCTCATGAAATTACATATACACAAGAAAAACGTTAACTTCGGCTGCATCGAAGCTAAAATACCCTTTACAGATGCATTTTTAATAGCTTAAAAAGGTCTGAAAAGCACTTCATTTTGATTTTCATCAAACGGTTTGTATGGCATGGCATAGTGCTCTGATCTGGAAAATGTCTTTATATAATCTATGCTAAATTCCGTGAAGACATCTTGTTAAATAAAAAAGTTTGTAGGGCACCTATATGCTATAGTAGTCCGATATCAGCGGTTCCGATAAATGGTCAGCTTGTTGGGGAGAAAAGGACAAGTGAAAAATGTCAGATGGATATCTCAAAAACTGAGGGGCACAGACGGACATGGCTAAATCGACTCAGCTCATCATGCCGATCTTTTTATAGGGTCTTCGGCGTTTCCTTTATGGCATAATCGGCTGTTATTATAGGACATATACCAGCTGGCAATCTCAAAAGATTGGTTGTTGTTATTGCTGTTGTTTTTCAATTGAAAAATTTTATATGATTTACGATAGTTTGGCGCGGATACACAGTAAATTAAAAACAAAAAGTGGATTAAAACAACAATTTTTCGATACATATAGACACACAAATTTGTCTATAAATCAGGATGTGAAATTTTTTAATAGCACTAATTACAATTCAATACAAACAACAACAACCACAGCAACTGCAATAGTCAGTAGTTTGATTTGGTCGAGCAAAATGTATAGCTTTCAAGCGCCGATAAGCGAAATTTGAGTTTGTAGCCACTTTGCCACTGCTGTGCTGTGTATGCGGAAGGAGCAATAAGAAACTACAACAACAATACAGTTAGTGCCGACAGCACGCGCAATAAATAAGACACGTAGAGTGTAAATATTTTTACACAGATAAGACACCAAGTGCTGTTATCTATCTCGAATACATACATGCATACATACATAAAAACAAAGCTGTAGTTGTCCACCTTTGTGTGTAATTGCGGCCGCATGGCAAATTAGTTGAGAAAAGTAACAGAGTGTGCTAGACACACAGCATAAAAATATAGAAATATCAAACAATTAAAATAGTGAGATCAGTTCCGGGAATAGCCAGAAAGTTCTGCATGAGCTGGCGGGTAAGTTAATCAGCGCTGTGCGACTGGAGGCAGCAAGGAGAGGAGCTTGTGGCATATTTTCACTACAAAGCTGCTTTCGAAGGAACATTTGCTTGCGCGTATTTTGTGAGTAAACACTTTCTTTGTGTTGTATGTACTGCACTCCAAACGTCTCCATCCTACGCGCTGCGGCAGTGAAGCATCGCGCTGCAAACGGCGGCTTATTCTGCTTTGAGCACAGGTGGCGATGAGTGCATGACCTCAGCTTCAGTTACAGGAAAATATGAACAATGTAAATAATATGTTATTTGTACGGCTATACATACATACCTATAATGTACATATATACGTATTTATATACACGCATGTAAACATTTGTACCTGTATTTGTTTTGCCGCTTAATTTTCTTTTATTGTGCCTTATTAATTTACCCAGCGCACGGCAATGCCTCCGTGTAAAACAGCAGTTTACAACAAGCTATCAACACACCGCGTAACGCTATCAGCGTTGTTTATCTACAACTTTTATAAGGTTCATCGCGTCGAGCAAACATACAAACATACATACACATGTAATGCATATGATGTTGTAAATGTATGCAATATATAGTAATTGTAACTCGCTGGTATGCATATACATATGTATATATAAAGTTTGTATGTAAATATGCTTATATTCCGTGCGTTACCGCAGAACAATACTCTCGACGCTTTTAGCCATTTCTAAGTGTCGCTAGGTGCTGTTGGGGTTAAGCTTTTTATTTTGTTAGTAAATTTGCTAGGTAAACAGATACCCATATCAGCGATTTTAAGAAATCACATATTTATACATGGACGTAACTACACGTAGTTCCAAAGGTATATCTCGTACACATAGCTATATTTAAATATAAGGTGCTACTGATATATAAAATATATTTTAAGGATAATATGTACATTTTTTCCAGACACAGTGTCTTCAAAAATATGCTAATTAGATGGTAGTTAATGCTAATATATATATATATATAATGAATATATACCATAAATGATCAGCGTGACGAGCGAAGTCGGTTCAGCCATGTACAGACTGGACATTTATACGGGAATTAATCTCTCAGCTTTTGAGATATCGATCTAAACTTTAGAAAACGTGCTTTTTTCTTCAAGAAGCAGCTCGGAACACTATAGCACATAGCTGTCAAACAAACTGAAAGGTCGGATTGAAGTCCTTGTATGCAAAACTTTTGTATTTGACGAGATATCTTTACGAAATTTAATATTATTGTCCGCGACATTAGCGTGAACATTGAAGAGAGTGTTCAGATCGGATCACTATAGCATATATGTACATAGCTGCCATACAAACTAACCGAAAAAAATCAAGTTCATGTAAGGAATATTTTGTATTTGTGAGAGGTATTATAGCTTCGCTGAAATTGAAGTTAACGTTTTTTCTTGTTTTTACTTAGTGTAATCGGCTCGCAAAACTTCAAACGCGTTTTTTCTCGAAACGCTGTTTTCAGAGCGAATGAGGAAATTTTCCGAAACGGCTAGAATGATCGACTTGAAATTCTCACACGACCTTCTTAGATATACATATAAATGTTATACATACATATATATATATATATATATGTATATTATGCCATGATAAAAATAACTAGACTTTTGATAATAGTTTCGCTTTCTAAAGCCACTTTGAGGTGTAAATTTTTTCACAAAAAACTCCTTTTTTTGGAAAGCCACTGATTCGTCACAAAACAAAACTTTGACTAGTCTTTTGGTTATTACCTGATTTCATATATTGTTATAATACTTTTTTTTGGTTTTTGAATTTGAGATTATTTTAAGCAGGAAAATTTCCCTCACCGCCAGACACCTTTTTTATGAGGTACTCTTGAAGATAGACTACAGGATCAAGGGAACCCATACTTTTTCAAAATAAATCACCGATTATTAAAGTACATTAAATTGTGTAAATATACATTTTTATTAAACTTAGTAAAAATATGCTTGTTCGAAAAAAATTTAGTAACAAAAACGTCTATGTTTTACTTACAAGTAAAACATAACCGCTTAAAGCACTCCTTATTTGTTATTTATTCAACATTATATTACTTTTAAAAAAGATGATATAGCTATGCTTAGAATTCTTATAAAATGAAACCTTTTGAATAAGAAATTTTTTATAAGCTTACTTCTTCTTTAATAAAAAACTATTTTGGTATGTCAGTTTTGGTATAAAATCATATATTTTGAATGAGTATATTTCACTTAAAATTGAACCCGATTGTAATATATAAATCAGTTCAAATATTATTTGAAGAAAACCTGAATAAAAAATCAAAAAAATCAATAAAAAATTTTCAAGGCTAAAACGGTTAATCTGAAATCATCAAGTTTCATGCATGAAAATGTCACATAAAAATGCCTCAGCTTGTAATAGCTTCTAGTAGTCTACTTATTTAGGAAAACTTTGAACTACTAGCCATAAATATGAGAAATCTGAACTCCAAACTTAATAAAATTTTTACATTAATACAAATATTTTCAACATTTTTTATGTGTATACATATTTGAATCGAAATCTAAATTAACTTACATCAATTCATTCAGTATTTCTATTTTAATATTTGTTATCACATAAAAGATAATCGCGCTGTGCTTAGCTACTTCAGCAGCAAGAGTTTATGAGCTAGCATTAGATAAGCTAGTTAAGTTGCACACCTGACAGCGACAATTTTTAAACTACACACTACAGCATTTACAGTTATAATTCGCATTTATAGTTAAATTTTGCACTAAAGTTACTAATATTGCCTTTACTTTCTCACTTTCAGCAGTTACTTGCACATTGATCCACCACGTATCTACGCCACGCCCTACACACCGCACAGTTGCAGGCCAACGGCACAATCATCGATCGCACTAACGACCGTACGACGCCACACACAGCGTCCGTGTACGTGCCGACCAATATTACGCCAACGTTAGACTATACCGGCCTCACCACGACGACTACATTTTTGCAACACTTTAAGGACGTCGTCACGACGAAGTTCTCCGGCAGAGATCACCACCTGCCACCGTTGCATCCGCATCCGCATTCGCACCAGCAGTCGGCTGCACTGCATCACCATCAGCCACATCAGTCTGTGGCACAAAGCTTTTCCACCATTTTTCCCACGTACTTAGGCATGGATCGCGCCGGTGGCGGCGGCGGTAGTGCCGTCACTGCTGGCAGCGGTCTGGGTGTGGTTCACAATTCGGCCGGCGGCGGTGGTGCATTAAATGGTCTCGAAGCAATGTCAGCCGAATCGACCGGCCTCTGTTTGCAGGATTTAGTGAGCGCTGGCACAGCAGCAGGTGCCGGTTCGGCAGGTTCGGCTGAGAGTACCAACACAACAAGCACTGCACTCAGTAGCGGCAGTACTGGTAGTTCAACGGTGAATGGTAGCGCCGGTTCGGCCACTGGACAAGAGCATTTACACAATCATCACAGTTTACATGACTCCAATTCGTCGGTTAGCATTTCACCCGCCATATCGAGTCTGATGCCAATCGGCAGTCTGAGTCATTTACATCATACAGCTGGTCAGGACTTGGGTTATCCGCAGCATCCACATCACGCTGTGGTGCCACCGCATACGCCGAAGCATGAACCGCTCGAGAAACTGAGAAGTAAGTACTGAATTTACTTGATTGCTTGTAGTAGAGTTAGAAGAGAAGAGCTGTCTTTTTGAAATGTAAACTGTATATCTCTCACATTGACTACCCTAGCAAGAAAGTGCGCGATCGATCTTATTGGTATTTGAAAAAAAATCGCTCAACCTAAAAAAAATAAAAATTTTTGTACACGCTTTGTACGACGTCAAGCCAACTTACGCAGAAGCTCTTGCACACATATGTTGCCAACAAAAAAGTGACTTAAATGACTTCTGACAACTAACAAATTAACAAATAATTAATTAGCTCATTATTCACTCATTCAGTGGCCATGTTCGAGTCGTTGGCGCATTGAGTTTTGCCCCAAAGGCAAGCGGTGTATGTCTGTGCGCCAAACTGGTGTGAACAAGCTATATACTTGTATATATATGTACCTACATGCCTGCTTATGTATGCATTAACGATTCAACTATAATGATGATCATTTAAATCGGTTTTGTGGTGATAATGAGAGCTTATTTAAATATTCTGAGATAATTTTAAATTTGAATAATAAAGGAATTTATTAAAAGATACAACTTTATAAAGAAATTATGTGAACACATATATTGAACTATATTAATATTGATTCAAAACCAAATCTTCATGACTTAAAAACTGATCACTAAACTCAAACAATAGTAATTCATGAAATAAACGATATATTAATGGTATAAACAAAAAAAAATTTTTTAGCGGCATTCTTACATTATAAATTATAATCATTTAAAACACTTTTCAGAAAAAATATTTAATTTAATGCACATAAAAGTGATTTGTTTGTTTACATAAGTTCATATTTAGGTTAAATATCGAAAATTAAGTTCACAACGGTGTCAGTTCCCTCTCCACATTTCATATTGAGGTCTAAGCGATTTTAACTACGTTTTTAGGGTCAAAGATGGTCTCCGCACCTGATCTTCAATTTTCTAAGCACTTGATTATTTCAAGACTAGAAAACGAACATATATAAGCTAGAAGCACAAAAATAAGTAGTCTTCCCTAGCAATACATTTGGTATCCATAAGCGGCACATCTACCTGTGACAGCCTAAAAAAAGCGATTTTTTGTAATAAAAAAAAAACTTTATTAGGTTAGTTTTAAGGTATATTTTAAAAATACACATTCAAGTCTTTGAAAAAAATTTAATCTTTTTTGAGTTACAAGATATCTCTGAGGGAGCTAAAACAGGATCTATGGTCCTACAGTCGAAAAATATCCAAAGTTGTCAAAATAACTGCGTACATATTTAACCAAAAGTGAGATTAATCGAAGAACAAAATTTTCTGTTCATCATGAAATGGCTAATCAAACAGAGTATACAACAAGTAACAGCTGTCAAAAAGACCAACTCTGAAGAAGTGCTACCTCATTGAAAACTACACGTTCAAAATAATACCCTTTATAAATTCAGCTGGGGACTCAGAGAAAAAAACAATCGAGCAATGGATAGATTTGTCACTAAATATATGGTATATTTATGTAGCGAAACTACTTGTGCCAAGATAGACCTTTCTTGTTGAACGACTCTCGGACTCTCTTGTTAACTTGCAACAAAATCGTGGCTGTTTGCATTTGCCTGCCATTCAATATAACTTGCAATCGTAGCCAACAAGTGTCCACGCCGAAGTTTTAGAAAATGTAAATTTACGTATGTACATATGTATGTATGTATATATTTACATATACGTAGTCATAGATAAATAGTAGCCAATGTGTCCAAACAATGCAACAATTATGCGAGAGTAATCTGTCAACAACAGCTGCTGTGATTCCCGCCACCTCTAACTGTTCATCATGATTCATGATTCACGAAAACGTTCACGCTCTTAATTTGCCAAAACAACAAAACAAAAAACAAAACGCATGCACCCTCAACTACATACACACACACGCGTCTACATGCAACATAACAGCACTATTAGCGGCAACGTAATTCGCCTGATAATATTCAAAACCACGTTCCGATGGCGCGTTGACAGCGCGAGTGTTAAAATTCGCGCGATCCAAATGACATTCAGTCACACTTCAACGCCGGAAAATCGTTCGGCAAACTTAGCCAGCGCAAACAACAACAACAACCGACCAATAAAACACCCACCCAACGCGGTCGCCGCTGTGTCGCCCTCTGCTTACATGAATACACTTGACTGTGCGTTGACATCGTGTAATTTCGTGCATGCAGTTGCTGTTGTTGTAGTACGGTTCGTTGTTATTTGCAGCTCTGCACTTGTTCAAATAAGCGAACATTTTTCACGCATTTTAATGTGTTCAACGGCAACTGCATCGCCGTCGCTTGTTGCTGTCGCGTTGTGCGCGCTGAAAAAAAAAAGAGCCGAGTCGTGAACGAAATTCCAACGTAATCATTGTGCAATCATTAGCGTACATAAATATACAAATTTTACTGCCCTTCACACTGTTCGCTGTGTGTTGGTATACATGCATGTGTGTTTGTGCTGGCAGCGCGTCACGGCTAATTGAACACCCTTCTGCCATAAAATGTTGCGCCGCATCGTCACAGAGTGTGCAATATGTTAAGAAGAGGAGATGAGTTGAAGCGAGTTATGAAGTGCTGCGGATGGCGGCACAAACATACAAACATACACATATGCATATATACTTATACACATATGGCCGTACGTAACACGCTTGGATGCTGTGCCGTGAGACAGTATTTCACATACATATATATATATATATATACATGTAGTACATACATATGTTCCTCCAATATTTCAAAATATCTGATCTGTCGCATATTAGTTTACTATTTCCTCACAAAACTTGCTGTCTACATTAACTTTCCACTTGAAACCGGCGCGCTAGACGCAAGGACGCCTGCGCTCAATGGTCATCACTCAGTTATGACAGGGGTTACGCACTCTCCCATATTACGTTATGAATCGTTCGACTCATCCTGTCGAGTGTTTCCCTGCTGGAAATTTGATATGTTTGCGTCAAGTGTTTGTTGCCTTTGTGGAGGCGAAATTGTTTTGGGAATTACATAAATTTAAGTGCTATTGTACACACTGCTTACGAAAATATGTGGCTATCGATGTGTGGAGAGGAAGTGTGTTGAGTTAGAGAAAAGAAGTGGTTGATTGTGCACACTTGTTGTTTTGTGATTGTAATCATAATGTTCAGCGCAATTAAGTAATTACATTGCTGTTGAGTATTCTATATATTGGTAAAAAAAAAACACTTGGCACACTTCAGTTTTAAAGTTTTCAAGATTATTGATAAATCATTTACTGACGAAATATTTTCTACTATTATAGATCTTAATAGCTCACGATACTGTCAATCCAATATAAAATATATATTTGTAAGATGACCAAATTCCTTTACATTATTGCAACTAGTGCTGTTGGTTAGGGAATTTATTTAGATAAGCTTTAGATGTTTGAAATATGTGTTAGGAATGAAAAACAAGAAAAAACGTTAACTTCGGCTGCACCGCAGCACTTATATGCCATTGTAGTCCAATATCAGTGGTACCGACAAATTACTACCTTCTTGAGAGAACAGTTCGCGTACATACATACAGACAGACAGATAGAGAGATGGACATGTCTAAATCGACCCAGCTTATCTCGCTGAACAGTTATGTATATACTTTATAGGGACTCCGACCTTTCCTTCTGGGTGTTACAAACTTTGTGGCAAACTTAATACAGGGTATATTAGGGACTAATAAAGTCTACCAAGTAGACTTTTAAAGCTTTCTTAATAATAATCCAAACAAAAAGAGCTCTAACATCCCATCTTTACAATATATGTCAGTTGTAGGTTAGACCGACTTTAATTGGTTGTTTAAAAAAATGCTCGCATCCTTACTTAAAAAACACAAACGCTAACGAACTATCTAAAAATACACTTAGCACAGTACTTAGGCTGGAATAGTTTAGACTCAAGAGTGCTCAAAAAGGAGCGCACTTTGGCAGTTTATTCTGACAGTACAGCAACAGTAACGATTGTCTCTCTTTCTGACGTCATTAAACATTTATGGGAGTGAACAAAAACAATATCTATTGACGTTTGATAAAATATGTAGGCCATTGCCAACTTTCGGAAGCACCGTTATCAATAGATGCTCTACCGCCGATAGCTAACTTGTGCTATCTAATACAAAATTACTGACGGGATTTGGATCTACATAAGACTAGCTAGTTAAGTATGTATGGTTTCCGCTCTATGGCGGACGTGTAAAAAAAGGGTTAAAATTTTTACAGAACGAATTGGTACTTAAGTGTTTATAAAATAATGTTACTCAAAATCTACGGTTGAAACTTATATTACATCTGGTTATCTGCGAGTGCCAATGTCAGCATAGCATAATTTAACTATTTTTGAAAAATAAAGTTTTTTAGTTTAAGTTAAACGCGCGGTTATATATTTACGTTCTGAAGTTGACTTAGCCGAAGAATGTAACCCTAGGAACAAGGATTTTTTTACTTTTCTATCTATTAAATAATGACTTTAGCAAAGTATATTTTAATCCAAAAAAATCGATATTTTGCAAATACTAGACTGACCTAACCTCCTAAATGGATTAATTTTTTTCAAATACTTTAAACATACCAGCACACAGACTCATCCAAAAACCATATTATTATCCATTTTATTTCAAATTTAAATATTTTACACACACACATTTTAATATCGTAAGTGAGTGCATTTTCTCGACTTCCTCTAAAAGATAACAGCACAGCTAAAATACAAATATGCGGCAAACTGTTGCAATGCACTAACTTTGGCAAATGCAGCAACAACAAAGGGAGTAGCTACAACCGAAAGGACAAACTTCACTAGAGACAAAGAACTTTGTTGACCTCTCACTCACCCAGCCGGTGACATTGTGACATTTTTATTCGAATTTATTTGCTTAGGAAAACAATTTAAAGCTGCCATGCCACGAATGGGGCACATTAAAAATAAAATGCAAACAATAAAAATATTTGTTAAAAGCCACGAAC